TCAGCTTCCTGCTCCTCTGATGCTGCTTGGCCTGCTGTGTTCATCCAGCTCTACACCTTGTTATCTCAGATTCTCCAGCATCTGCAGTTCCTACTATCTCTGCACCCATCTGAAGACTGACTTGTTATCAAGGGCTGAAATTTGAAAAAAAAAGTACTGTGCAAATGAAAGATCTCCACATGGTTTTCAGTTCAACAGAAAAGCTTGCAAATATTTTTTCCAGAGTCTGAGGGAGACCTAGCTATTCAAATTTAAATTCTATTGAAACGAATCTAGTAAAGAGGCTGAGGCAGGTCCTTTATCCACAGATTTCTCCCCCAAAACTAACCTTCTTCAGCTTGATATGCCTTAGGTTGCAGCCACTTCTCTCTGCAACTGAATTGATGGAAATTTGTTGTATTCTGTAAATATATAAAAATGGAATATATTGGCAAGAGAAATTATAAATATTGCTTACTAAATACAATCATGCAGATTTGTATCTTTGTCGTAATCTTACACATTTGCTATGAACAGATTTTTTAAATTTTTGGCAGGCATATACATAGTCAGTTCACATTAATGATCATCAAATTATTCATGAATTCCTATTGTACAGATAGATAATGAATGCACTGGAAAAGCCTTGAGTAGCAGGCAAGCATCATGCTCGCGAAAATTAAAAATAATTAATGTAATCCATTCTGTTGATATCTAAAAAACTGCATATAAACAGCTTTAGCTGTTGTGGTTTTCTGTGGAAGGTCAACTTTCCGCAGGAGCTTAAGAATAAGTTGAGCACAATAGGGAAAAAATGAATGTTATCTGGACTCCACAAACAGTAGTGAAATAGTTGTCAAAACTCTTCATTAACTTTTGGTAAAACCCCTTCTTGACTTCTCCATTCTAATGAAACTGTCACAGTATCAAAATTGTGCTCTTTATACTTTAGGGACACAATGGTGGGAGGGTACAACTACAGAATAATAATTACAGATTACAGGAGAAATCTATATTAAATGTGAATACAGGAAATTATACAGAAAGGTTGACATAAAAGATAAAACAAAATCTTGATAACATGAATCAGATTTGTGCATCTGGGAAGCTTCCAATCTGTAAAGCTCAAGGTGAAAGCATGGTGGATTTGTTTGACAGCACATCATCAATGTATAATTATTTATCATGTAGTTATCTACACATTTTATATAGATATCTTTTATACCTAGTTTCTCTATATTCAGAGACCCGACTTCAGAGCAGAATGGTTCCATCCTCTCCCGAGCTATTCTTTCCCCTCTTTGATGCTTATAAAATCCCTTATTATTTCCTTTTATATTATCTACTAGTAGTTGTTCATATTCCCTTGTAGCACTTGCTTGTTTTTTGCCCGCCCATTACATTTTCTATATTCCTTATAATTTCATTGTTTGCTGCATCCTTATCATATACTTCTCCTTAGATTCTCAATTCTGATTTAATTTCAGTTTGGCAATGGAAAATTATTTTTTTGGAGAACCCCTTTATGCTTCATATGAATATATTTATTTTGTTTTCTATCCATTTCCTATTTGAGGATTTCCACTGGTGATCTGTATCATGCTTGTTAACTTTCCTGCTCAGGTCCTTTTAGGCAGTTCACTTCTTATTGTGCAGAACTTTGTGTTTATTCTATTCCATTTCTATTCTATTCAGCGCAGGATTTCTTCAGGGGAGCATCCAAGGTCCAATCTTCTTTAGCAGCTTCATCAATGACTCTCACTACATCATAAGGTCAGAATTGGAGATGTTCACTGATGATTAAACAGTATTCAACATCATTCACGCTGACTCGGATACTGAAGCAGTCCATAGCCAAATGTAGTAAGATTTGAACAGTATCGGGCTTGGGTTGAAAACTGACAAGTGACATGCACACCATACATGTGCCAGGCAATGGCCACATCAAACAAGATATAATCTAACCATTGAGCTTTGACATTCAATGGCTTTACCATTGCAGAATCCCCCACTATCAACATGCTGGATGGATGCCATTGACCAGAAACTGAACTGGTTTAGCCATATAGATATTATAGTGACAACAGCAGATCAGAGGCTAGGAATCCTGCAGCCAGTAACTCATCTCCTAACTCCCCTGTTCACCATCCACAAGGTACAAGACAGAATACTCTCCAGTTGCTTGGATGAGTCCAACTCTAAACTGAAGCAGCTGACAGCATCCAGATCAAGGCAGGCCTCTTGACTGGAATCGCATCCTCATTCACTCATCTACAACTGACACACAGCAGCAAAAGTTTTTTTTCTTTATTCATTCACGGGATGGGGACGTAGTTGGCCAGGCAGCATTTATTTCCCATCCCTAATTGCCCAGAGGGCAGTTAAGAGTCAACCACATTGCTGTGGGTCTGGAGTCACATGTGGACCAGCCAAGATAAGGATGGCAGTTTCCTTCCCTAAAGGACATTAGTGAACCAGATGGGTATCCCATCTACAGGGTGTACTGCAGAAATTCATGAAGCATTTCTAAACAGCACCTTCCAAACTCATAACCAGTACAATGTAGAAGGACAAAGGCAACTAATACATTGGAAAACCTCCACCTCGTGGTATTGTTGCTAGGCTATTAATCTAGAGACCCATGCAATGTTCTGGGTACCTAGGCTTGAATCCCGCCATGACAGACAGTTTAATTTGAATTCTATAAAATCTAGAATTAAGACATTAATGATGACCATGAAACTATTGCCATTTGTTGGAAAACCTATCTGGTCACTCATGTCCTTTAGGGAGGGAAACTGCTGTCCTTACCTGTTCTGCCCTACATGTGACTCCAGACCCTCAGCAATGTGGTTGACCCTTAACAGCCCTCTGGGCAATTAGGGCTGGATAACAAATGTTGGCCTAACCAGCGACACCCATTCTGTGAGTGAATAAAGAAAAGCCATTCATTTTGGCTTGGAAACATACCCTTCTTTGGTCTTTCACTGGGTCAGGTGCTGGAACTCCCTTCTTATGAGCACTGAGGGTGTGCCTACACCAAGTGGAGTACAGTGGTTAAAGAAGGCAACTCATCACCACCTTCTTAAGAGAAACTAGGCGTGGGGAATAAATGCTGGCCCAGACAGCAAAGCCTGAATTTTCTCCTGAATTTTTTAAAAGTGTTAGGTATGTTTAACATTGACTCTTCATAATTCTTTTTATTGTTATGCTTAATCTAAGAATGTTGTGCTCACTATTTCTCAGCTGTTCTTCTACGATCAACAGTCACGTGGCCATTTCATCTCCAAACACAAAAGCAAACAATTATTCTTTCTTTCCTGAAATACAGCACATTGATCTAAGTAGTAGTCCTGGATGTATTCGGCAATGCACTCTCAGTCTAACAAGGGAAATACAAAATCATTCCTTATTATTTCCATTTTGTTTCAACACATCAGTACGAATAGTCTACAAATCTTCCCTTCTCCATTTATTGGTGACCTGTAATACGGACCAAGAATTGCCTCCTTTCTTATTGGAATAATGGCATCTGACATCACAAAAAGTAGGAGTTCAGCCATTGTACTGTTAGCTCTTTGGCAGTGCCATCTGATTTGTCCTAGCGCTGGAACATTTTTTTAAAAATATGTATAAAATTTCCTTTTGCAAGTTACCAAATGAAGATCCATAAATGATAACATTTCATGTAAAACCCTGGAACAGTCATGAAATTCCTAAAAAGGCAGTAATGGAAAATGCATTGCCAAATCTGCAAAGGAGCAGCAAAAGATTTACTACATCTGAGGACATAAACCAATTAACTCCATAATATGAAAGTGGACCACAACCTGTGCACCAACAACTAAGCAGCCAAAGGCATTACATTTATACTTGACCCATTCATTATACAGGCTGTACAGCACAAAAACACACCATTCAGCACAAATGATTTATGCTGGTATCTATGCTCCACATGGATTTCCAAATACACCTCCTAATCTAAGCTGATAATCATTGAGGCTGTATGCCAAAATAACCTTTGAATTAAGAAATTAGATATGGAAAAGTTACAACAACGCAATGAAAATGAATCACTAACTTGCAAACAAATAATCAACTGATGAATTAACAGCTGGGGAATAACCTGGAATTCACAGGAATCAAGTTATATGAGAAAAGCATTAATTTGTTAATCGAGCTGAGCATCCTGAATTTTAGGAGACCTGAAGTCGGAAGCATAATTTCATAATCCTCTCCCTCACGTGTTTATCTAATATCTTAACTGCACATGAATTGATCTTGTATAACATAAAATCATTGTAATATCAGGGATTAACAATTATAGCCAGAGACAAAAACAAATTATGTTCCACATCACTATCATCCACCTGATACCCTGTAATAAATTCCAAGTTATTACAATGATAATAACGATCAGTGATTACTTACCCAGACCACAAGGAAAAGCCTTGGTTTTACTTTACTTAACTTCAATTACTTAAGTCGGTAAAATGTGCATCTTACGATTGGTGTATGATCTTTAATGCGCTCTAATGACTCATGCATATATACATACTTTGCAGTTAACGATGTTATTAGGTTGTGCAAAAATTACTGCAGGAACTTGGATTATCATTAACTGAAGAGCTGATAATCATTGAGGCTGTATGCCAAAATAACCTTTGAATTAAG